GTTTTATTTCATGAACCCAAAAGTATTAATGTAGTAAGCCCACTACATTTTGGCGCAACAATGTGGAACGAGTCTTTGGGAAACTGGTCTTCTATTCAGCAGCATGAATCCAGGATGTTGGGCCCATATTCAAGGCAATTATGATTTTTTTAAATAAAAGATTCCTGTTCATGTCTGCTGCTGAGATGACTGGACCCCAAGCTTTTAACCAGACACTGTTTGTTTTTGTATTGATAGCAAAAAACCTTTAAATCTGTTGACAGATTGTAGCTGAAAAAATTACCAGTGAAATCTAAAAATAGTAATGCCTTGTGCAGTTTACGAACAGCAACAATCTTGTGAAATTAGGAAAGATTCAGCTGTGATAAACAAAAACAAAAAAAAAGGCCAGAAAACGGAAAAAAAGTTTCCAATGTGACAGCAAGAGTTGCTGATTTTGTGTCAGACAAGAAGTTCTGGAATTTAGGACAAGAGGTCCTTGTGTTTTTGAGACGGCTAAGAGAGTCGGTCTATATTGTGTTATGATTTTTAAGATGAGAGACGTCTATTGTGTTGGATCCCAGAAAACATGTAAAAATGTTTTTCTGAAGAGCTAAGCTACATTTTTATGTTGTATGAATGAATGTGAAGTGGTTTTAGGCCTGAAGTAAATATATAAAATAATCAGTGATGAATAAATACCGGTATACAATTTTAGTTACTAACATTTGAACTTTTAAACTTAAAAAAAAAAAGAAGTAAATGAATAAATAAATCATAATAAAATAAAATGCAATCTCTAAAATAAATGATATCATTAATTTTTATGTTGATAAAAGGAGCTCCATAAAATAATATAAAATAATATACATATATCATACAGTTGAAAAGTGATACACATAGTTTATTTTTATGAAAACAGCATACAGTTTGTCGGCTGCGGACTACAAGGATTGCTCTGCTGTGAGGGGGGGGAGAGAAAAAGGCAGGAGGGAAAGATTTGTTTTTGTCTACTGTGGGTCGCTTTAAGGCAGACTTTTGTTGTTATGTTGTTCTGAGGAAAAAGAAAAGATGACATGAGAAATGGGACAAAACTTGGTTGAGGTCTTGTAGGAAAAAACATACACACACACACACATACAAGATAAATGAGAGATACATTCTCGCAACTTAGTAAAGAGGTGGACACACACCAGCTCAAAAGTAATAGAAAAAGATAAAAGGAAATGTATAAACAAGTTCTAACAATTTATGAACGTGCTTTTAAAGCCAATAAAAATCAAACAAAACAAAAAAGCTTAAAAAATGTTAAAACAACAAATCCAGCTAAAATATGTTTTTTTTTCTCTCTATCGGATGACGCTGATTCTGCGCTCTCAGACAATGTGTTGACAGGAAAAAGTGCTGCCCTTAAGACCATATTTCAATACACAACCACCTCACATTAAAAAATAAAAAATAATAAAAAGAGGCGACCGTCGAACCCTGGTGCATTAACAAAGTAGGCACAGACAGTTTTACGTAAACTTTTGAAGTGACGTGCAAAATGTTGAATTGTAGAACTTCTAAAAAAAATATATAATAATAATAATAATAATAATAATAAGGATGAAAATAAAAATAAAAAAACTCCAGATTTTTAACAGTTGTTTCCAGTAAAAGATTTGCATTCCAAGCTGGGCTGAAGCCAACAGAGTTTAAGAACACACACACTTACACACACCCACACACACGCACACAGACGCACGCACACAGGCTATGTGAAAGAGAAAAAAAACACACACAGCTAAAAATAGACTTATGAAGTGAGCAGATCTGGAACAAGAACGTCCCAGAAGCTGCAACTCACATAACTCTAAAGGTAAATGAAGACTGAGTCAAAGAACATGTGCGCGCAGATGCATGCACAACCACACACACACACACGCACGCACGCACGCACACACACACACACACACACACACTAAGAGAAGCAGAGAGAAGCTTTCAGTAAAATAAATAAAACAAATAAAATAAAATAAAACAACAATAATAAATAGATTTTAAAGTAAGTTGACAGCACTGAAAATCGTTTTTTTACAGATTTTTTTGTCTTCTGTGACAGAATAACTTTTTTACCTTCATTGGATCTGAGTCAGACACAACAAAAACATTCCTTATAGGCCATTTAGCTTACCAGCATTCACAATAACACATTCTTAAACACATTAAATCAAACCAAGCGTAGTACA